TCTTGTTTTCTATCATTTGAAACATATCACAATGTCCAGCATAAATACTTGGGAAATAAACCATTGAAAACACTAGAGATCATCAATGTAACTAAAAAGCCTTTGGCTTTTGAAATGTACACATTGGGCAATAGGCAAGCAATCAAAGCTCCAATGCAAACTAGTTCCATGTTTGAAAATTTCATTAAGTTTACAAAAAGTCTGCCAAATTGATTATTAAAAAGCGTGCCGTTTTAACATTGTGAAAGATACATATGGTTTTGTCCCTGTCCCCTAACATACAATTCCTTATATTCTTGGAAGCTCCAAAGTGATAAATGTCTTTTGCATGCTAATGAGTTGATTGATGGCCGGCAGGCCCCTAGGTAGCTTGTGGATCTTATGGAGCTGGTTACCAAGACCAAAGCAGGCTTAGAGGGTGAGACGTTCAGCCCCACAGCCCAACATCCAAAGAGAAAAGAGGAGCTAAACATTAAGTTGATCACCAATGGCCAATGGTTTAATCAATCGTATCTACATAATGAAGCCTCCAAAAAAACCCAAAAGGACAGGTTCAGGGAGCTTCCTGATACCTCACCAAGTGGAGGTTTCTGGAGGCTGGCACACCAAGAGAGGGCATAGAAGCTCCATACCCCTTCCCATGCGACTCTTCATTTGTGTCCTTTATAACACCCTTTATAATAAACTGGCAAACGCATTTCCCAGAGTTTCGTGAGTTCAAACCCAAGGAGGAGAAAGTGGAATCTCCAATATATCACTGATCTGTCAGAAGCACAGGTAAAACAACATGGGGCTTTTGATTGGCATCAGAGGTGGGGACAGTCTTGTGAGACTGAGACGTCTACCTGTGCACCATCTATCTTCATACACGGTCTTAATGTAGGTAGTTTTGGAATCAAATCAGGTTGGAGGAGACCCAGCTAGTGTCCGCTGCATAACTGATTGCTTGCGTGGTGAGTGGGAAGAAGCCCTTACACATCTGGCCACCGAGATCTTCTGTGCTGACAGTTGTATGAAAGCAGAAGAAAGCTGGCATTTTTGTTGTTGTTCTTGTTTATTGTTTTGGGTTTTTTTCTCAGATTTATGAAAGAGGGTGGTTTAGAAAAGTGATACCAGCATTACCGACCTTCAATATGAACTTAATTCTCTTGGGTACATTTACTATGAGTATGTTATAAACTGTTCTTAGATTTAAAGAGCAGTAAACTGTACCTAAGGCGGCATGAATTCCACAGAAGATGATAAATGCCTCTCAGAGATATTATTTCATCAAATTATTTTAACTAAGTTCATGCATTGGTAAGAATATTTTCTTCTTTGAAGAAAAACAAAGGAAGAGAAGCAGACTATGTAAATTATTGAAAATGACCTAATCTACTTATTTGTTAACCACAGGCACCATTGTAGAGATTCTTTAGGGTGGATCCTAATAAACTATATCATGTTATGGAGCCAAAGAGAAGGATAAAGAGCAGAGTCAACTGCTATCTTCTGCCATTCCACTATTCTTCCGGCATGTGCCTAAACAGGAAAGATAAGCAAGAGAACGTGTCTAGCAGCAAGACAAAGAGGACAGAAGGGCCAGGAAAAGGGCAGACGTGAAACAACCAAGCCGACAGAAACCTGGCAGGCAGTGGCCACATATCAGTAGATTTTGTTTGTTTTTGTTTTTGTTTTTTTTTTTGAGACAAGAGTCTCGCTCTGTTGCCAGGCTGGAGTACAGTGGCAACCTCCACCTCCCGGGTTCAAAAGATACTTCTGCCTCAGCCTCCTGAGTAGCTGGGACTACAGGTGTGAGCCACCATGCTCAGCTAATTTTTGTAATTTTAGTCGAGATGGGGTTTCACCATGTTGGCCAGGATGGTCTTGATCTCTTGCCGCTTATTATTGGCCTGCCTCAGCCTCCCAAAGTGCTGGGATTACAGGTGTGAACCACTGCACCTGGCTATCAGTAGCTAAGAGATACTGAGGAATTTCTGAGGCAAATTCTTGCAGAAAATGTTATTTGTATTTAGAAAGAAAAAGTATTAAACTTATAAACCAGGAGCTGAGTTCTACTCCCAGTTTTGCCATTTAGTTGGACAAATTACTTACTTCTTATGTCTCATTATTTCATTAAGAAGGAAGGGATAATAATACTTGCTCTTATAAAATGTCATAATATAAATATGAGCACTTAGACTACTGTGTTCTATCCAAATGCAAGCTATTATTTTTCTTGGAATTAATATGATTTATTTGCTACTATAAATCCCCAAAATATGGTTAAGCATGACAGTTTCTGAAGCTGGAAGTTTCATACTTCTAACCTACCACTAATATGTGGAAGTCTTTTTTACAGTGGTATGGGGAATTCCAAAGTGTCAGATTATATGTTGTAAACCATGGGAACTCATTGAAAAATAGTAAGAAAGGTCTTAAAGTAAACAGATGTATATACTAGAAAGTTTGGGGGATGAATTGAAAATGAGCAACATTAAAAGAAAATAGATCAACCAAAATGATGAGAGATAACAGAGGGTAGAAGCAGAACAGTATCTGGTACAGAGAAAAGCAATAGAAATGCACTTGGAAACAATAGCTCTTAATGACCATTTGTGTATACAGACTGAGCATGGGACAGGTAAGTATTCAGAATGACTTTCAGTTAGTTGTGAACTACTAAGTGTTTTAGCACGAAATCTATCACAACTGGAAGATGCATTTTTTTCTTTATCTGCTAAGAGAATTCTAAGATTTGTCTCTTTTCTTCAGTTATTGTGATAAATTACATTGATTGACTTAGCAGTGAACCAACCTCTCTGGTCTCTATGGGTCTCTTTATCTGGCTGATTCTCCTAATCTGTATATATTACAAAAAAAAAAAAAAAAAAGATGTGATTTTAAGTATAGTACTTTCTTGAGTTCTTTGAGATGTTCTAGCAAGTGCTAAAAATTGAGAGGGCTGGGGAAACCCCTGACTTTATAGCCAGCTAGTCAGAAGTGTGAGTTTGGGAATGTAGGAGCCTCAGAGTGTTGCTGGTGTCCGCAGGAAGAGCAGTCTTTTTGGGAATCCTGCCTTTTAAACCTGTGGGGTCTGTGCTGATTCTAAGCAATTAGTGCCAAACCGAATTGCAGTACATTTTGGGGTTTTTGCCAGAGATGATGTATTATTTTTTCTTCAGATTTTTCTAGATTTCATTTGTGAATATTTGGCTTAGGAGTTTTACACTTATATCCACGAGTCAAAGTGGTATGTAGTTTAGTTTTCTTGAAATATATACTCTTTTCAGGAGTTTTGTCAAGGTTATACTAACCTTATAAAATGAGTTTGGGAATATTCTCTTTATTTCTATTTTCGGAAAGTTTGTGAAGATAGAATTATTTCTTCTTTGAATATTTGGCAGAACCTATTAATGAAGCCATCTGGGACTGAAGTTTATTTTTGGGAAGGCTTTTGATTAATGATTTAATTTCTTAATGTCTATATATATACTATTTATGTATTTTCTTCCTTCTGGAGTCACTTTTGGATAATTATGTGTTTCTAGAAATTTATCTATGTTATCTAAATGTGTAAATTTATTACTAAAAGGTTCTTCATATTATCCTATTAATATCACTTTACTATTTTTAGAATATAGAGCTATGTCTCGATTTAGTTCTTGGTCTAGTTTACTTGGGACTCCTTTCTTTTGTCATAACTAGTCTAATCTGAGGAATAATCAATTTAAGCAGTCTTTTTGAAATTCCATTTTTGTTTTTTATGATTCTCTCATTATATATTTTTCTATTGTATAATTTCTAATTCTGTTTTTGATTTTGCCTGTTCTGTTTCTAATGCAACAGAATTGGTAGTTCACTAATTTCCAAGACTTTTTGTCTGTCTGACAATTTTATACATAAATATGTTTAAAACTCCATATATACGTTTCTGTATGGCTTTATCATTATCATTCAGCTTATTTTTTCGACTTCCTTTTTAGGCTAATATTACTTAATCCTGATATTCAAATACATAGACATTGTTTAGCTGCCTTTATTTAATTCTAGCTTAATTATTATTATTTTATTCTTAACTATTAGATTAATGGCCCAGAAAAAGGACAATTTTGACAACTTTTTCTGGTGCGGTTAAAACAACTGTTTTAATCCCATTAATAGAGAAAGCATTTATATATAATATTATATGTATTATATATATGTATTATATATGTATGTATTTTATATATATATAATATACACACACAGATACATATACATGAATCTGTATGTAGTTGGGACTACAGGTGCACGCCACCAAATCCGGCTGACATTTGTATTTTTTTTTTTTTTAGTAGAGATGGGGTTTCACCACCTTGACCATGCTGGTCTGAAACTCCTGACATCAGGAGGTCCACGCACCTCAATCTCCCAAAGTGCTGGGATTACAGGCCTGAGCCACAATGCCCAGCCATTTAAACCTTGTAAATATAATTTTTAAATGTTTATGTATGTTGATACTTCCAATATCTGGAATATCTTTTCAAGTTTGTTTCTCTTGTCCCATTCAGATGCTTTATATTTTTAATGCTTTCTTTTATTTTCTTTTTCTTTTTTTTTTTAGCTGGAGTCTCCTTCTGTCGCCCAGGCTGGAGTGCAGTGGCGCGGTCTCGGCTCACTGCAACCTGCGTCCCCGGTTTAAGCATTTCTCCTGCCTTAGCCTCCCAAGTAGCTGGGATTACAGGTGCCCATCACCACGCCTGGCTATTTTTGTAGTTGTAGTAGAAACGGAGTTTCACCATGTTGGCCTGGCTGGTCTCCGCCCGCCTCCGCCTCCCAAAGTGCTGGGATTACAGGCGTGAACCACTAAGCCTGGCCATATTCTTGATACTTAATTAGTTTTTACTTTGCCTTGTTACTGCCCTCATGAAGTTTTTCGAAGATTCAAAACCAGAAAACAGATGGAACCTCTCTGGAGGATTTGCATTTGCTCCTGCTGGGCACTAGGGGGCACCACCAATCTGGGAGCCCCGCCGACAAAGGAAAGGCGTGAGCTCTTGCTGTGGGAACGAGGCTGCAAACCCCCCTGAAGGCCAGCCCATAATCACAGCTTCTTCACAACATCGGATTTTTTTTCTCACGCGCTGTTTAGTGCCAAGGTACCCTTATGTTTTCTTGCAGTCATCTTCAAAAGGGGTTATATTGTTTCGTTTCATTTATGTTTGGTTTTGTTTCGGTTTGCAAAGACCTCCTCTGAAATCCCTCCTTACATGAGAAATTCTTATATTGATTGTCTGCTTTGTAAAGGTACCCCACCTTGATTTCTGTTCACCTCCACAGGTGAGAAGTAGCCAAAACCAAGCCCAGGCTGGCCTAGATCAGTTTATAATCCAGGCACGTATATATTCCTGATCCAGAATATATATATACGTGTGTGTGTGTGTGTTACTCCATTTAAAATCCCATGGATTTAACTGCTATGACTAAGACTATGTAAATTTCTTTTCTCTGCACCATAAGGCACTTTGGCAGCTTGAAAGAGCTTCTTCTTTTTTTTTTTCCAGAAAACCTATTTTATCTCAGCAGCTGCCATCTTCACATAGATGATTGCTAAGACATTTTGGTTTACAAGGTAACTTTTCAACGTTTCGGACGCACAGATCTGTTCACTAGTATTTGATGATGAAAGCCAAAGACAACAGCTACGAGGCATTTACACACAATAGTAGAATAAATAATTTTAATTCTATAGCAAATATACATTTTTAAAAACAATTAAAAACATATTCTAAGGTTTAGTACCTTAGCATTTTAAAGAATGGAGTCAAAATTTACATGGAAATTATAATTCGTTAAAAAGTAATCCGTTTTTGAGTGAGTAAGATACTAGCTGGAGGAAGACAGCAAAGCCAGAAGAAATAATAGATGATATTAACACTAGTAAATATGAAGAAAAACCCCTTTGATCGGTCTCACCTCCTAATTTCCTTGGTAAGTTTGAAAGCCTCAGTTTTCTAGACCTGTGGAGACTACTTGGACTCTATGAGGCATGTTTAATGATTCCACATTATAATGTTTGAACACATTTAATTATTCCTACTTCTCTACTAACTTGATCTGAGGATTTAGTGAAATTATACACTATCTCTATTTTCGCTACTTAAAAATTGAGTAGGATATAGTAATACAAGGAGATGTTCTAGAGGGATTCATTATTTAATGTTTTTAAAGTCCTACACAAATGCCAAACTCATTACACTGTGCATGCTGGCAAGTGGCTAGGTTTAGGAGATAATGCAAGAACACACATAAATCAAAATTTCAACATGAACGACCTTCTTTTTGGACCAGGGAATGATTAATCACATCACTGGCATTGTGTATGCAGGTTCTTGTTCAATAAGTAACAGTTGACACCCTTAGGTTGTACCTTCAGCCCCCTCCCTTTCCTTTCACACAGCGGTGGCAGGGGTTTGGGGGAAAACTAACAATTCTGTGTAGTAGCTGAGCGCCTTTCAAATTACAATCTGGAAAGTGCCCAGACTGTCTAACTTTCAACCTCCAGGAAAAAAAAAGGTGGAATTGCTATGTCATAGTAAATTGGTCCCAGACTTCAGGTGGATTACTTCTGAAGACGATACTTAGAGTATTTTCTGTAGACATCGGTTCCATGTCTTGATAAATGTCATACATAGAAAATGTCCTCGGTCGTTTCTCACCATCTTCTGATTTCTGCTAATGCTGCTGTGACTCTGTTTCACAGTGTATTTAATAGATCTTAACTTCAAAAATAAAAGAAGTATTTATATTTGAAAATGTTAACTTCCTTTTTAAGAAACTGGATTTTAGAATAAGGTATTTAATCAGGTAACTAAGGACTTCATTGGGGCCTTAGTAATTGATACAAATTCTTCATTTTCCTAAATTCTGGTTGATTTATATGAAGTGTGGCTATATACGTATAATTGATTTTGTATGTATCAATAATATAAGTCACACCTGAGAAAGCTTCATCTGTCCAAGAAAATGGGACATGATACAAATTTTATATTTAATAAAACCAACTGTAAACATTGATAAGCCATTTCTTCCTCATGTTCATAGAAGATTGGCCTAATTAACCTCTAATCATATGTCCAACACAAGATTAACTTCCAAAAGGCGATGGAAATGTTTTTCTGCTTCCCTGCTTATCCAGGAAATAAATGCAGCAATAAGAGGCTCTAAATGTTCACCTTCAATAATCAATTTAAAAGAGTCTGACCAGATAGAAGTGAGCATAGCAGTTTGCAGTAAAATGGATATTGTGGTGTCCCACCCACAAAAACTCCTTTATCCAAGAAAATTATCCACCCAGACTTTCGAAGTGTTGACTTCTGATTGCCAACAGATACATCCCTGTGTGACTCAGGATTCCTCAAAGAAACAGAACTTATAGGATGGAAGAATGAATAGAGGATAGATAGATAGACAGATGACAGGAATTGGCTACGGTGATTGATTATGGAGGGTGGGAAATCCTATGATCTCCATCTGCAAGCTGGAGAATACGGAAAGCTTATGGTGGAATTCCGTCCTAGTCCAAAAGCTTGAGAACTGGGAGTGGGCTGCCCACCGTATAATTCCAGGGCCCAGTCTAAATGTCAGAAAGCCAGGAGCCCTGATGTCTGAGTACAGATGAGTGCCCCCGTTCAAACAGGGAAAGCAAATTCCCCTTTCCTCTGCCTTTTTATTCTTTATTTTTGTTATCCTTTTTTTAGAGACAGGTCTTGCTCTGTCACCCAGACTGGAGGGCAGTGGTATGATCATAGCTCATAGCAGCCTCCTAGGCTCCAGCGATCCTCCTGCCTTAGCCTCCTAAGTAGCTGGACTATAGGTGTACACCATTGTACCTGGCTGGTTTTTTGTTTTTTGTTCAGAGACTGCGTCTCACTCTGTTGCTCAGGTTGGTCTTGAATTCCTGGTCTTAAGTGATCTTCTCACTTTGGCCTCCCAAGGTGACAGGATTACGGGCATGAGCCACCATGCCTGCCTTTTTGTTCTACTTGGACCCCCAAGGTTGGAAGATGGCACTTAAATTGCTGAGGGTAGATCTTCCTTATTCAGTCCATCAGTTTGAATGCTAATTTCTTCCAGAAACACCCTCACGGACACAGTCAGAAAAAATGTATTCAAAGCTACCTGGGAATCTCTTAGCCCAGACAAGTTGACACATCGTTCTAACCAGCGCCTCCCACTTTCGGACTTGCTCTCTGACTAGAGGGAACTGTGTTGACAAAGATTATGGGCCCCCTCCCTGGGAGCAGCCCTCATTCAGTGTCAAGATGGACATTTCTTGTGTTAACTCTTAATTGCCAAGTATTGTGTGTACTGGGTACAGTTCGATATTCAGTAATGGAATAAATGCAAATACTTTTTAAAATGGTTTATTAAAAACTTATTAAGTGTCAGGCTCTGAAAAATAATGTGCACGTATCACCAATTTTAAGTTTCATTAGTCTGAGCCTGGAATTTGTTGCTTACTTTTCATCGGATGAGAAAACTTAGCCTTGTTAGTGAATTAATTTGCCCAAGCTTACATAATTCTGTTATTGGGTGCAAGAATATCTTCCCTAGTAATACCCAGATAGGTATTTTTCAAGTTAAGTAAATATTAGTTATGACAGTCACATCTAAATTCATCATTTCCTGATGTCCCTGGATTCAGGAACAAAGTTGACTCAGGCAGAAAACCTTGGAACCCTCCTTGATTTCTCTCTTTCTCTTACATTTCATCCCAACCTGCATGGAAATTCTGAAGTCAATAAATCCAGAATCATGTAATTTCTCACTACCTGCAGCATTGCATCCTGGTCCCAGCCACCATTCTCTCTTGCAAGGAATGTTGCAACAGCCTTCTTTATCAGTCAAGATTCTCCAGAGAAACAGAACTCATAGGCTAGATGTATATGGGTGTGTGCATATATACATGTTATAAACATATATATATATATATATATATATATATATACACATACAAATGTGTGCATGCGTAATCATACATTTGTAAACCTATATATATACATATACATTAGGTGAGGCCCACCCACGTCATTGAGGATAATCTCCATTAATTAAAGTCAGCTGATTATAGGTGTTAACTACATCTTAAATATCTTCTAAGCAACTTCTAGATTAGTGACTGAATAAGTAAGTTGGCATTATAACCTAGACAAGTTTACACTTAAAACCAACCATGACACCTCCTACCTGGTCTCCTTGCTTCTCCTTATGTCTTGTTCCCCACAATCTATTTTCAACATAGGACCACAGTGATTCTTTTAGATATAAGACATATCATGTTATTCTTCTGCGTCAGGCTTTCCAATAGCCTTTCACACCACTCTCAGTAAAACCCGACGTCCTTACAAGGGCACCCAAGGTTTTGGATGATCTGGTTCTCTACATCCTGTTTTCATCTCCTGTCATTCCTACCCTAGTCATACTGTTTTCTCAACACACCAGGCACATTTTCATCTTAATGCCTTTGAGGTACTTATTCTGTTTAAAATATCTTTCCTGTAAGATGTAAACATGACTAGTTCCTCTCTTCTTCAAGTTTTTGCTCACCCTCTCAATATAGTCTATTCTCAATATAGTTATTGTCACCCTCTCAATATAGTCTATTCTTACCAAGTAGTTAAAATTCTACTTGACACATTCCTTCTCTGATATGACCTATCCCTGCATTGTGTTATACCTTTTGTTTCCATAGCATTTATCAGCTTGTAGTAAGCTTCGATATATTGACGCTCTTTGCCTGAAGAACGCATCCCCCACAAAGACAGTAATCTTCGTTTATTGGTCTCTACACTAACCCAGATAACTAGATTGGTATCTGGCAAATAATAACTATTCAATAAACATTTGTTTTATGAATAAATTTAGGCTAGAAATATATCAATAACTTGCCAATTTATCAAATACATCTAAAACAGCTATTTTGTATTCTCTCCCTTTCTGACCCTCACACTGCTGTATAATTTTTTTATTTTTAGGTGAATAATACAATCTTTTTCTTTTTATTTTAGCAATATTTCTACTTTTAAGGGAAATGATGCAAATTATTTCCCTAAAATTATACTTGTCATTTATATTAAATATTATATTTGTCATGTGTATATTAACTAGTTAGAGTGGAAATAATTAAGAACGTGTAACTTTTTTTACTTTTAAGTTCAAGGGCGCATGTGCAGGTTTGTTACACAGGTAAACTTGTGGCATGGGATTTGTTGTACAGATTATTGAATCACCCAGATATTAAACCTAGTACCCCTTAGTGATTTTTCCTGATACTCTCCTCTCACCCTCTACCCAACAGGTCCCAGTGTCTGTTGTTCCCCTCTATGCATCCATGTGTTCTCATCATTTTGCTCCCACTTGTCAGTGAGAAGATGTAGTATTTTCTTTTTTGTCTCTGTATTACTTTGCTAAGGTTTCCAGCTCCATCCATGTTCCTTCAAAGAACATGATCTTGCTCTTTTTATGGCTATATTCCATGGTGTATATGTACCACATTTCCTTTATCTAGTCTACCATTGATGGGCATTTAGGCTGATTCTATGAGTGTATTCCTTTGGGTATATACCCCATAATGGGATCACTAGATTGAATGGTGGTTCTGTTTTTAGGTCTTTGGGGAATCACCACATTGTTTCCACAATGGCCGAACCAATTTAAGAATGTATAATTAATTAAAGAATTGGATTAAGGAAATTAGGCTTCTTAGATTACAAGTGAAAAATACTCATGGACTTGCCGAGGCCACCATGCCAAGAAGCATACATTTTCAAAGCTATAATTTTAGGGACTCTGTTTCAAGTATGATACTTAACCTAGTATCTATTATATAATACATTTATCAGGTTGTTTTAAGTACTGATAATCTTTTTCACTGACAACTCATTTTGATTGACGATAATTATAATAGTTGGAGCTACAGGGAAGATAAGATTTGCAAAGTTGGAGGTTACCTAATATCTTTTCTTTTATGGCTTATTTTCCCCTTTTATCTTCATTCACATGGGAGTTCAAACTAAAAGTAGAAGTAACAAACCCATTTTATGGATGTTGTATCACAATGCAGTCTTACATTCTTCTTTGCCCTACAAGAAACACCCTTAGAAAATGCTCTTCATCTTCAAATTTGAAAAAAAAAAGAAGCTCTTCCCAGATTCCACAAAGTTTCTTGAGTCATGCCAACGAGAAGAACCTGAAATAACCTTGGTCTTACAAAGTTCCCTTGTCTCTGTACCTCTCTGATAAGGGTTACATAGAAATGTGTCTGCTATAGAGAAGATAAGTAACATCTAGGAAATAGCATTTCATACTATTGACAGGTATATACTCTCTAATTTCTCCTCTTTCTGTCACAATATGTATATTTTGGAATTGATTATAATACACATAAGGTTGCTTATTTAAAAAATATATAGCAATAAGAATTAAGGTCTAAAAACCTCTGCCCTTTGTATGTTTTTAGCTGCATCTCAAGCCACTTTCCCACATCCACTCTCCTAGAGCTGTTATTTAGGTCCTTAAATGTTTCAGGCTTTTACTCAGCTCAGGGATTCTGCACACAGTATTTCTTCTGCCTGAAACACTCTTGTTCATTTTGCTAAAATAATCTGACATTAGTATATATTTAAATTTCTTAAGAAGGCCTTCTTAGACCTCTCTGCCTGGGTGAAGTCTCTTATTTTTTACTTCTCAAAAACTGTTTTCCTCTTTCTTATTTTACATATATATATATATAAAACTGCATTTTAGGTTTTGGGTTACATGTGAAGAACATGCAAGATTGTTGCAGAGGTACATACATGGCAATGTGGTTTGCTGCCTTCCTCCCCATCACTTATATCTGGCATTTTCCTCTTCCTTATAATTGAATATTTGAGCAAAACAGGTGCCTGTGGAACAAATTCCTGGGTCTTTGTTGGGCATTAATTAAAACTGGTCCTATGACTGAAGGACATAAGATAATCTTGAAACCTGAAATACCCGTAGTGTCTTAGGAGAGGATGAAGAAATATTTTCATAAAGAGGGCAGTTCCCAGAAGAGTTCCATAATGAAATCAGTATGGTTTGTGTAGAAACATGCTACTGAGGGAATGCAGGACAGTAATTACTGAGCCTTCTCTCCCATAGGTCTGACTTGGAACCACATGAGTCACTGACAGATCCTATGGTCACATGGGCAGTGCCCTATGAACAGCTCTCGGTTGACCAATAAAGAGATGCTTGGTTTATGGATGGCATTTTAAAGGCAGAAACACCGCATCCTGTTTGGAAGATTGCTGCACTAAGACCAGCATATGAAAAGACTGATTGAAGAAGGTAAGAACGAATCAGTTCAATGAGTTCGTTAGCATACTGTTTTCCTTGCAGTGATGAAAGAATTGAAGGGTGATAAAAGTCCACTATGTTTGGGCTTTTACTGGCTACCACTCATGGTAGCCAGTGGTTTGGCCATATGGTCGGGCAGATGGGCGATGGGAAAACTGCATTGTGAAAGGAATGCCAATATGGGGATGGCCCTATGAAAATCACCATGGGAGTTTAAGGGGCGCATTAGAGAAGGAGGTACTGATGAAAGTACTCAGGAAATGATACATAGGCAAAATAGTGAAAAGAATATTAAGGGCAAAGGGAATAACAAGCTTAAAATTCCTGACAGATGCAGGTTTAAAATGGTCAAGGAAAGCCAGTTGGGCTCTAACTGATAGCTTGCCGGGAAAGCTTTTTGGCACTGAGATTAGGAAGTTTCCAAAAGGCGGTATTATATATGTCCTTTATAATCCACATTTACAAATCTGGTTTTTTTCGTATGAACTGAAAAATCATTGGAGAGGTTTGAGCAGAAAGGTAAAATGACCTTTTTTAGAGAATTTCCCTAGCTGCTAGTTGGAAAATAGATTGTGGAGGACAGTAGCAAGCACAGTGATGTTCACAAATATTTACTTGCCCCACATTTCTTAGCCTCTGAAAAGTTAGAGAGGTCCCATGCCCACTCTCTCTGACAAGACCTGCAAGGTCAAGGATTCCCCATAAACCAACGATTTGCTAAAATGACTAGAAGAACTGATGAAAAGTTGTTATACTCATGGTTACAGCTTATTTCCGTGAAAAAATACAGATCAAAATTAACCAAGGGAAGACATACATAAGGCAGAACCAAGAGTTCCACATGCAGAGTTTCCAGTTGTCCTCTCCCAGCATGTCCTGAACAACACTGTCTTCTCCCAGAAATGATTTCTGACAATTCACACGGGGTATTGCCAGCCTGGCAAGCTTACGTGCGCTTTGGGAGACAAAACTCCACCTACGAAGTAGGAGCATTGATTTGCTCATTTCAATGGCTGGAAGAATTCCTTCCAAATAATAGCTACTTAATTGGTATTTGTTGAATGAATGAATTCAAGCCAAGCATATCATTGCTGTTAAAGATAAAGATTTAAGACACAATCCTCACTAGCAAAAACCTCACATCATGCTGGAAGAAGTGAGTACAATAGGCATTATAGTATCATATTATGAGTTCTATGCTGAAGGTATACACTAGTTGTTTCAGAGAAATAAAAAATCCATAGCATGGAGATCTACAGATACTCCATAGAGGAGGTCATGCACTGTGTTAAGTGAAATGCCAAAGCTGATCATGGGGAAAACTAAGATAACATTCTATGCGGAGGAAATAGTACATATAAATGGAAGGAGGCAAGAAAAAGCATCGCACATCTGAGGAACTGCAAGTAGTTTGCTAAGGATCCAGTAAGGATCTTTCGCAAAGGCGTGAGAAGGCAGATCATGAAGAATCTTGCATACACTAAAGAGATCTCATTTCATCTTTAACGAGATGGTAAACCATTGATACCTTTTAAAATACATGAGTGCCATACTAGTGTGACTTTTAGAAAGATCATTGATAATTGTGCACAGAATAAATTAAAAAGAAATGAAAAAGAACAAGAAAGGTAAATTTGTGAAATGTAATCAAATGTAATAGTAATCAAAGGGAAAAACACTGAGATTCTAAACTTAAGCGGTGCCAGGATGGTGAGGAATAATGAATGGAATTAAGAGCTATATCAGATGGAAAATTAATAGGTCAAGATGACTTGATTTGAAGTACAGTGTGCCAAATAAATCCAGGATGGCATCCAAGTGGCTATTGTCAGCGGTGGATAAATGCTGGGACCATTCACTGAAAGAAATATATATCTGTCGGCGTAGTTCAGATGAGTAGATGCAGGAGTTTTAGTGCATAAGTAAATGTAAGAGTAAGAATTATTATTGGAGATCAATTCATTCATTCATTCATTCATTTATTAATTTGTTTATTTTGAGACAGAGTCACTTTTTGCCCAGGCTGGAGTGCAGTGGGGCAATCTTGGCTCACCGCAACCTCAGCTTCCTTAGTGCATAACACCACATCCAGCTAATTTTTGTAATTTTGTAGAGATGGGGTCTCGTCATGTTGTCCAGGCTGGTTTCAAACTCCTGAGCTCAAACAATTCACCAACCTCAGCCTCCCAAAGTGCTGGGATTACAAATATGAGCCACCATGCCCAGCCTATTATTAGACATCTTAATTCTGAGCTAGATCGTCTAAGAGTAATCCATCGGAAATTTTGGAATTCAGGGGAATTCTGGTTGGCAAATCTTGACAATATGTTTTGATTATCTACAGAGTGTCAGATATTTCTAGATCATAGGAAACCCAGAACTTCACCTTGTAGAATTTAGAAAGGCAGCTCAAGTATTATCATTATTCAACAATTTCTTACTTGCAGTTAATTTAGTGCATTCATTATATTTTTCTTGTGCTTCTGTGCATATATTGCACCTCTTTCTAATAAGGATACCCAGGGAAACGTAATTTCAAAAGTTTAAGTTTCCTCATGTAAAAGTTTTAGCCTTGAAATCTCTTCTATTTATTCCAGTGGGTGTATAGAAGTTGTCAAATCACACACACAGACACTCACGCACACACGCACACACACACTCACACACACTCACACACCCACACAGAGAGAGAGAGAGAGACAGAGAGAGAGATTGAGAGACAGAGAGAGAAAATGAACTAACTTCAATAGACCTGGCTGTTCGTTTAGGCCACCTTAGCAATGAGAGTGTATTGCTGCATGAATGATCTGGCAATGGCAATCAGTGTCGTGTCATGACAATCAACAGCTGAAACATACAGGTTAACTGGATGGGAATCTAGCTCAGCACTATGGCTTTATAGTTTGACAAAATATGAATTGCACCTTTGTAGAAGGCTTCGTATATATTTTCTTCACCGAGGAAAAGAAAAGAATGATTGAGATTTCCACTCCCTTAGCAGGTTCTCCATCATATCACTAAAGGCTATGGGACTTTCTAATGGCCAACATTCCTGAAATATTAGGATTCACTGCCACAGATGCCTTTGGCAGAACCAATCTCAAACTCTTCTTTTTATTTGAAATTTCCATTGTACATTTTAAATTACGGCATAGCACCACAGTGGCAAATGGAAGGCCACGGTTCTCGGGAAAAAATACAAATAATGTAAAGGAGGGACCACAAGGTCAAAAGATATTTTTCTGGAGAATCTTGCAATATACCAAGTGATGCCTCGGGAAAAAAAAAGCAAAGCTGTTTAAAAAGACAGCAGCTGCTATAATGCTGCTTCATTACAGACCCGGTGGAGCAGAAGCAATGCATCCATTTTGCCTTTTACTTCATTGATGATACCAATGGAACATTAATGGAATTCTTATAGTCTACTGGTGCAGTATATATTTAGCTATATTATAACACTTTTTTTATACTAGAGGACAACCTTACTAGTTTCCTTTTTATATAAAGAAGTTGCAATTAGGATATATCTTCAGATTTACAACAAATAATTCATTAATACAGTTTTTAAAAATATATATTTTACTATTAGGAGAATAGGTAAAATTTCAGTCTAAATTAAAACCTTGTTAACAAGCTTGTTTCACGGAAATGTCACACAGCCTTTTTCCAGTTAACGAAGTCAAAGAGCTTTTATTGTTGTTTATTGATTTCATTTATTTAATTCTCCTTTACGAGGAAAAGGTCAGTTTCTCTTTGTTCTTTCATTTTGTTAACAAAATGGGTTGTGCTTTCAAAACCAACAAATTATGCAAATTACTTAGCATTTATCTTGATTTTTAAAAAATCGTGTCCAAACTATGATCTTAGGGTTGTCCATTTATATAAGAATTTTAGGGCTAGACAGGAACCCAGATGTTTCAAGTGGATTTGCAAATGGCAAAGTGCTGCTTGTTGGATCTGCCTGTAAATCTATTTGCAAATGCAAATCCTGTTTCCAAACAAATCGGAGTTTTTTTAGGTCCAACAAAAATCCTTGAGCAAAGTAAAAATGCTGATGGAATCTACATGTGTTACTTCTATGGATTTCTATCCAAATGCTTTTGCATCTTCCTAGTGTACTTTCCGAGGATGGTAGCATAAAAGAGAATACAATGACACTTATTTTCAGGGGATTCTGAATGCATCCTGCTGCTATTTAAGGGACAGCAGAAGCTGTGGCTAATCCAAATATCTTCCTTTTGTCTGCATGAAGTGACTCAGAGCACACCTTACTTTCGTTGTGTTCCCTTGATGCACTGATCTGGCTTGTAAGATAGTTTCCATTTGTCCACAGCTACTGAGACTCTCTTGAATGCCTTCCCTTCTCTGTTCGTGTCTTTCTAAAAGATCCATGTCCCCAGGGTCTAGACCATCAGTGCAGCTCTCCACAGATGCCTGTAGGTTAAGGTTAGTAAATCATTCTGAGTTTTACTCTTCATGCCCTCAATAATAACAATAATAGCAAACACTTTTATAGTACTGTCCATAGTATTAACTCATTTAATTTTCAACACTACTTCACTGCATGCACACAGGTCTCCTTCTCCATGTCCTGTGCTCCTCTAATATAAGATGTCAATATATGCCAAAAGGTTAATGGTGGCAATAAAAGGCATGGCTAATTTTTTCTCTCTCTCAAATATGTCATCTTCTCTTCTTACATTTAACTGCTGTCCTCAATCAAGGCTGGACTGTTGCCATAGTCTCCTACCCGTAACCTGCCACATTGCAGACTTGCCCTCTTTGAAACCCATTCCTCTGAGCCTTTGCTAAAATCACTCCTCTAAACTGTAGATTTAACTTTGTCACTTTTATCCTTTAATGCTACTCTACCACCTACAGAATAAAGGCCATGGTCCTTAGGACGGAATATAAAGCCTATTGTGCCCTGACCATATCTACTTATCTAGTTTCTTTTCTCACTATTTTCTTCTTATCCTTGAGTGACTTTG